CTATGGCATGGCAAGTTTGTCTAACTTGGGTTATTATTAGAGCTAGACTCTTCTTTTGTATATGTTATATATTTGCCCTTGTGTCTTTAAAATCATTTTAAAGAAAATAATTTTAAAATGTGTAAAAACTAGTATTTTAAAATTTAATTTTAAATACATAATATTTTGAAATATCCAAACAATGAATTTACAAATATATGTATTTGAAAATCATTTTTCTTATTTCAATCCAAACAATGTATTTTAAAATACACATTCCAAATTCAAATATATATTCCAAAACACAACCTCAATGACTTTTTTAAGACAAACATGGTTCAATACCTCTTAATATAATTCATTAATTGGCTTTCACATATAAAATTAAGATTGTAATATCTTTTTTTCTTATAAGGTAATAAATATCCTTTATATTAATATAACTAGCATGAATATGATATATGTTCTTAAAATATATGAGAAAAGCTATTGATAATAAACAATGAAAATATGCTTAAAAATTCATCAAAAATGTATTAAAATACTATAATACAAAATCAATGGAAAGTATTACTATCAATAAAATGAGAGAATATATCCTTATATTTTTCTAATGTATTGGTGAAAAGATATACAGCATGATAAATCCATGCAAACTTATAACTATATATGTAAATATCATATCAAAATTATAAACTACCATCACATTTTGAGTGAGGGTCCATTTTACATCTCTATATGGTACTTGGTCTTCAATTGAAATCATGGTTTCAATATGTGTATCATCAATTGCACCTATACATTTTGTCTTCTTGAGTCTTATTTATAGTTTTGGTAAAATTATAATTAGATAATTTCATACTAAAAACCCACATTTACATCCAATACTTCATCAAATTTTTAACTTATTATTTCCCTTAAATATTTAACACATATTTTCATTAGATTTGTTATATACACATCTAAAGAATCATTGCAAGTGCTATTTACACACATTTCTCTAGTTGATGTTAGGCCATAATCCCTAACTAACAAAGAACCTAATCCTCCTAAAAATATATGGTTTCATCCTAAATATTCTATTAACACTCATTTCAAGTAACCAATGTCTATTGCAACTATTATCAACTTGAAAGTTTTAAAAGCTTTGTTATTATTATTATTATTATTATTATTTATTATTAAGGTATTTCAAAATATATGTTAAGAATATTAAAATATTTAATAGAATAAGGGAATAAAACATATTATCTTTTTTTGTTTAGCTTTTAGCTCTCTTTCTCTTTCTTCCTCTAACTTCTCATCTTCATCACTATTTTCAAAACACCACCACAAATCTAAAACCATCTATAAAGATAAAGAAAAAGTTAGAAAAAAAAATAATTATAACAAACAATTCCCATTATTTTCTTAGCAAAACTTGATCAATGAAAAAAATCAAAGAAATTACTTTTATCTTTCTTTTAACTTGATTAATAAGTGAACTTAGGAAGAGGACAACAATTGAATTCTATGTCTTAGCAAAAGGTAACAAAGCAAAATAAATGAAATTTGTTGAAAGATGATAATTGAATATTGTTGACAGATTAGAACAAAGAAATAAGAAGTAATTGAGAGAATTTAGATTTTTTAATTTTGTAAGCAAACAAAACTAACTTTATTTGTCAATTAGTTGAAAAAGTATTGAAGTAAAATTTAAATAATGCATATGTTAAAACTATTTGTTTAGAGTGGACTATCATAACTGTGTTTAATGCTTTAATTGAGTTTTAGGAATATGTGGTTAGTTAATGGGTATTTAATTCTTTAGTTGAGTGAAAGGAGAAAGTTGGTTAAATATGCGTTTATTTTTTTTTTCCAGTTTAACCAATCTTTCTCAAAGGTTGCAAATAACAACATATTTTCTTTTTAAAATATGACATAACACCTCACAACCATCATTTTTTATACTTAAACACAATACTTGTTTTCAAAACCAGTATTTATAAAGAGATTGCTATTATCCCTTTCAATTAGAATTTGACTCAATGTGAAGTTATAATTTATCTTCAAAATCATCATATATAATTTCTAAAGAACATTATGAGAAAGTATAGATTTTTAAGATAGCATATGCTTTAAATTTAGTACAGCTCTATTTCTCAAATACTAACATTACAAACCTTTTAATACTAAAAACTAAAATGGCAAGTAATATTTATAATAGATTTCTACGTCTTACACCACAATATTGCAACATCTTAATACTAAAAACTTCATGTCTTGCAAAATATTTATAATATAGATTCATATGTTATATCGCACTACCTTTTACCACTAAGCTTTCCTTTTTCAACTCTAACTTAAGCTTTTCTTTTTTAAACTATTGCTTTAAATAGGAAAGTTTAGAGTTAATTGATTTCATACTACTAGAAATTCTATACATTTTTGTTTTATAAACTAACAAGAAATTAACATAAAGAGCTCACTATCGTCTTTAATTTTAGGCAAACTCAACAATACATCCATATATTCTACAATACGACAAATAGGTTTTCCATAGCTCTTCTTTGACAACTTGATTAAACTAATAGAGATATATAAATATATCACAAAGATGACTAATTGTCTATGCATGTATATTGCACCCAGTTGTTTCATTTTCATTCCTTTATTTATACTTGAATAACTTGTTATGTTTTTCTTTCTTCTTTTTTTTTTTTAGGCTTAATTCAATTTTTAGTCTATTAATTATCACCTTGATTTTATTTTAGTCTAGAAACTATATTTTATTTCTAAATGGTCTATTAACTTTCAGATTCATTTCAATTTCGTCTACTTGGTCGAAGATAACGGAAAACTTCCTATTCTGTTAGAGAACAGTTAATCCTCTAACTATATTTTTTTTACCTTTTAATCCTCAAATTTATATTTGTTATAAAAATAACTTTTATACTTAAAATTATTATTTTTAAGTTTTGATACCAGATTTTTATACTTAAAATTATTATTTCTAAGTGATCTATTAACTTTCAGGCTCTAATACCAAATTAAAAAAATAAAAAAACCCGTATAAAAATCTGGTATCAGAACCTATAGATAATAATTTTAAGTAAAAAAGTTATTTTTATAACAAATATAAATTTAAGGACTAAAAAATCAAAAAAATATAGTCAGAAGACTAACTGTTCTCTAACAGTTTTCCGTTATCTTTGACCAAGTAGATGAAATTGAAATGAATCTAAAAGTTAATAGACCACTTAGAAATAAAACATAGTTTCTAGAGTAAAATAAAATTAAGATGATAGTTAATAGATTAAAATTTAAATTAAGCCTTTTTTTTATCAATTATTTGGGTGTGTGTAGACATAATGCTCACCCCATCTTTAACACTTATATTTTGTTCTAAAAAAATAATGCCTGCAGTTAGGATTTATGCAATTTCACTAATGGTTATCATTTTAGAGAATACTATCTTCAATTTCATTATGTTTTATGATTCATCATGCTTATACTTGGCATATTTTTATTCTCATACAATAATTAACATCACATAAAATATAATAGATTAGGAATTTAAAGTAAAAAATAACATATTAACATTTAAAAACTTAAAACAATTAATAATAAAGTAACAGTAATAACATTAAATACTTTCAATGTAGCCCATAACTAAAAAATAGCATCAATGATGCTCTTTTTATGGTTCCACTCTAATCTAATCCTGTTTATTGTCTTTAAAGCTTATTCTACAAAACCTAATCACTTTTTAATATATCATCCTTGTAAACAATAATTCTGTTTTAGAAAATTAAAAGGATAATAAAAATTGTACAAATAAATATTTGCATTAAATTTAAAATTCTGAGTACAATCTTCAAATAACAATGAATTAAAAGCAATCTTTTTGTTTCAATCCCTTCATTGATGTAAATCTTGTTGTGAGCTTGGATAAAAGTTGATCTTGGCAATAGAGATTTAAGGAAGAATCTCTCGTCATTTTGAAGTCTTCTTTGGAGTTGATGTATGTTTTATCAAGGGCTTCAATGAGACTTGATCTTAATGAATGCATTTGAGGAAGAATTTTGTTATTTTGAAATTCTCTTTGAAGTCAATATAGATCTTGTCAAGAGTTTTAAATGAAATTTGATCTAGGCAAGTAAATTTGAAGAACAACTTCATTGTTTTCATGGTCTTCCTCGGTGTTTGAGATGTAATGGTCAATAGATTTTGTGGTTGCATCTTCTTAGAAAAATCTCATTCTTCAATAGAGAATATCTCAATTTTTAAGTAAATGAAGAAGGTATAAAATACTTTTTATTTAAATAAAATAAATATCATTATTTTATAATACACATTACTATATAATCTTTTTACGTGTCTTATTTATAAATTTTTATCCATTACCAAAATTTTAATTGGTATTTTTGTAAAATACCCAAACATATTTCAAAGTGCATAATTACTGAAGTAGGTATTTAAATAATAAAATAAAAAAATGTAGTGTAAAATGTTTCTTAACTTATGATAATTCATTCATCAATACTCACATGTTGTTGAATGACTTATTCCAATCTAATGACATTAAACCCTGAATCAAGGTTATTCACCTTTTATGACCTATGGGTTGCACGTACCACCAAAACCCTTTCTCCCATTTTCCAACTAACATGTTAACTATTTTGTAGTTTTTCCTGCATTTTAGACACAGTGACAACCAAAAAAAAAAAAAAAAAGAAAACGATAAATAAGGTCAGACAGCAGATAGGTGAACGTATGCGCCGTTGTGGGTGTCACTGGCGGCAAAATCCCAAAACAGAATCAAAATTTCCTGGCTCATTTCTTTGTGCCTCTAAGCTCAACCACTCTCTAGGGTTTCGGCTTTCACAAGGTGCTTTCTTTCATAAATGGACTCATCAACGTCCCTCGTCTGCAATCTAGGGCTTTTGGACACTCTTAGCGACGATTCAGTGCAAGAAATACTCGAAAGCTACTCGGCCTTCTGTGCCGCCACTGGAGCTCTTCTCAACGGCTCTGGTGATCTCTCTGTCGGACCAGACTTCATTTCTCACGTCCACGTCCTCTGCAAGCACGGCCTTCACTCGCTCGTACGTGACCACTTCCTCCAGTCACTCGAGGTGATGAAACCTTTATTCAATTCCTGTGTTCTAAATTTCAAATTATGAAGTACTATGGCAATTCATTCCAAATCTTTCTCTCTTCTGTTGAAGTATTGAATGGTATACTAGTATTTGGGATGATTAATTGAAGTATCACTCCTGTGTTGTTTTGGGACAGGTAGTTTTTGAGAAAAATGGAGCATCAAGATTTTGGAGGCATTTTGATGTTTATAACAACATTACAGCTTTGGGGAAGAATGGAAGCGCTGTATATAAGCATATTATATGTTGCAAACTAGTACATTTGCTGTAATTTGGATTTTCTTGCAGCATCCTGATTTAGTCAATGGTTAATGCAGATTGATGGGGATCAGGTTCAGCAAGTGCTGTGCAAGGCTTTGGAAGAGATATGTTTGGAAAAGCAGTATCAGGAGAAGTGCGTATTGATTTTGGTTCACGCTTTGCTGTCATATAAGGAGTCTGTAGCGGATGGAAAGCACAGTCTTGATAAGGAAAGAATCCATCTTGTTTCCAAGTATCAGTTGATGGTTTCTTCAGTTCTTATGGCAGCTCTTCCTCGACATTTTCCTGGTATGCACCTTATCCACCCCTCATCCCCTCATCCCCTCCCCAACAAACCAAATTTTGGAATTACAATTTCTTATTGTCTTTCATATTTGTCATTTAATGGGACTTTCTTCGCTTGTAGTGCAAGTATTTTTCAGCCAATGGTTTACGTTTTTCATTGCCTCCTTGGTTAGGATCATGGCTGCCGCCTCTCCCTCTTTGTTTATATGTTTTTATTGTGTTTAACTGTGTAGAAATTTTAGTTTTATTGGCTTATATTTAACAGTCAATGAGAATCAATTCATTTTCTTTTAATCTGAAGAGGAATAAATGCATAATTAACATAGATCCTCTCCTAAAACAATTTGAACATTTTAATAAAAATGTTTTGATTTGAAGTTATTACAATATCATAAAACCTAGATGGTTGTTTTGAATTTTTGTTACTTTCTCAAACTTATCACAAAATTGTCCTAGGTTCCTTGAGTCCCTACACTTTTCTGGTCATGCTGTAAAATATATCTGTTGGGTATTGGTTATATTTTACAACTGAAGAGCCACACTAATTAAGAAACTATCCCT